TAAGATCATCCACTTGCAGCCCCCCTGCCATGGGCAGGGACACCTCACACTAAACCATCTCACACAAGGCTTTGTCCACCCTGGCCTTGAACACTGCCCAGGATGGACTTCTAAGCTTGTGTGCTTTGAGGAGATAGGTGTATGTCACCTGACTAAAACTACACCGCTTAGTAAAAACTCCTGCTTGGTGTTGACATGTAAGAGCATGAAAAGTGTCTGTCCTTGCTGTTCAAATAACCAAACCAGCCAACCTTTGGTCATGGTGCACCACTAAGGAGGGGTGACAGGCTTACTCTGCTGGCTGTAGCTTCAAGTGTATGGGTGGGCTGTAACGGCCCTGTCCAACCTGGCCTTGAGCACTGCCAGGGATGGGGCACCCACAGCTTCTCTGGGCACCCTGTGCCAGCGCCTCAGCACCCTCACAGGAAAGAATTTGGCACTGATTGTCATTGCTGTCAGAAGGCTTTAGAATAGGTAGTAAGGATTGAGCCAGAATTGTCCCCTCCCTCCTTTTCTTTCTCTTTCAGCTGTACAAATGGTGTGTGTACAAACCTTGTGTGCACAAGGCTGTGTCCTGTGCTTGCCAATGACAAACAGTAAGCTTCAGGCAGCTGAGGATGATTTGGGCAGGCAGATACCCCCCCTCCAGTAAAGTTGCAAAGAGAAATGGGCTGGACCTGAAGGCAAATGAGCTGCCTGGCTGATTTCCTTGTCACATTATTGCCACGTCCTACCTTTCCCTGCAAAGAGTTAAAGCACGAAGCCAGTGTTAACCAGCTTGGTGGTGAATGCTATTTCCCAGCTGTGTGGAATCAGTGACTCTGTACACATAGGTTAGTTTGTCAGTCCTCAACTACAAGCCCTGATGCAAATAACTCTCTTCAGGCAAACCTGCTCCTGAACAGAAATGCTGCAGTGTTCAAACGACCATCCCATGGGTTTGCTGTCGTGACCTCTTGCTTTTCCTCTTTCCAGCTGTATCCTCGGGGAACTGTTTACAAAGAAGCCTATTTTTCAAGCCAATCTGGAACTGGCTCAGCTTGAATTAATCAGGTAAAGCATTGCACATGCATGCCTATGAGAAGAGGTACTGCAGAAACTGCTCATGCACACAGGCTCTGTGTTAGAAGAGCCCTCTTTCTCTAACCTACCTGCAAAATAGGAGCAGCAAATGATGGTAACTGCAGATGTGAATAGGTGGGCATTTAGGGGTGTGTGGCTGCTAATGTAGGCGCTGTCTGGAAACTTTGCTGCTGTTCAGTTGAGTGGGTGATGAACCTAAATTACATCTGGCACTGAAAATGTGTTGGGTGGCTTATAAACTAAAGATAACCATTTTTCCTCTTCTCACCATAACTGAAGTGATTAACCAAAACTAGGTTATTGGTACCATAAGTTGCTAAGGAAGAGTAACAACTGTTCCAGCTGAAGCCAGAGCAGTTGGGGTTGGGGCCTCTTCTCCTCCTGGCTGTGTTCCACTCACTGCCCATACTCTGCTCTTCTGGTTGCCAGCCGGCTCTGTGGGAGCCCCTGTCCAGCAGTGTGGCCAGATGTCATCAAGCTGCCCTACTTCAACACTATGAAGCCCAAGAAGCAATACCGGAGGCGCCTGCGTGAGGAGTTCTCCTTGTGAGTCCTGGTAGAGGAGAGGATGAGTACCTGCATGGGGGTTATGTGCAACTCATCTGCTCTCCTTCAGCTCTAGTCTACCTGGCAGGGTAAAGCAGTGCTTCCCCTCCTTGCCCTCTCCAGGAGGGTTTCCTCCTTCTGGATAAGGCTGGAATGGGGTCATTGTCCCTCTTTCTAAACACCTCATCTGCCACAGGTGCCTTCTGGAGGGCTCGTGACACTTAGGCAGGGTCTGCACTGGAAAGCACTCTTGTCAGTGTTGTGTTCCACAGTGCTAAGGCTGGCTGACCTCAGAGACGTGCTCCCTGAGGGGAGAGAATGATTGTGTGATAATCCCGTGGGATTTCTAGCTGAGCTGCTCTTCCTAAACAGCAAAAATTCCACTGAAAATACCCCATATCTGATGCCTGTTCTGGTGATGCCTTTGAGCTGCTGCCCCACATAGTAACCCATTTTGACTGCAAGGCCTGAGGGGCCTCTCTGAGCGTGCCTGTTCACAACAAGCCCTGAACTCAGCTGTATTCCCAACTCTCCCCAGCATTCCTTCGTCTGCTCTTGACCTGCTGGACCACATGCTGACACTTGACCCTGGCAAGCGCTGCACAGCAGAACAGGCCCTGCAGAGCGACTTCCTTAAGGATGTTGACCTCAGCAAGATGGCTCCTCCAGAGTAAGTTCCAGTGGGTTCCCTGCTAACAAGCTTTGGGAAAGAGCCCCCCTGGCTTGCCCTTGGTGGGGGGGAGGTCAGTCAGAGTTCTGATTTCTGGATTCTTGTTGTGTGTTCTGTTGTATGGCTGAGCAAATAGCTCTTCCTGTGCTCTTGGGTATCAGGCTGGGGTTAGAAAGCTCAGTTTAATGCTTGCAAGGTGCTCTAAAACTCTATTGGAGGATACAGGAGAGTAGCATGTAGCATCCCCCCTGTCCTGTGTGCCAGGGGGACTGGCTAGGCCTTGTTTGTGCCACTTGCTAATTGACTCAGGGGCTGTTGAGCAGTGTCACATGCGGCTCTTTTCTCCCACTCCAGTAATCAAGGGATAAAGCTCTGCTCTTACTGGGTGCAAGTAGCTTTTGAGGTTCCCTTTAGAGTTACTAAAGGCAACTAATTCCTTAAAGCTACCAGATTCAGCTTGGCAAGCTTGTGTGCATTATGGCTAACCCAGTCCAGCCGGGAGGGAGATCTGGGTGCAAGTGAAATGATTCCCATCCAGTTCTACTGCTTTGCCCCGTCTTGGAATATCCATGCTTGTCCTGCAGCACTAATGACTTCCTGCCCTCTTTGAGGGTTACCCCGTATCCTGGGCTGCATCAAAAGGAGTGTGACCAGCAGGTTGATGGAGGTGATCCTGCCCCTTTACTCTGCTCTTGTGAGACCTCACCTGGAGCATTGTGTGCAGTTCTGGTGTCCTCAACATAAAAAGGACATGGAACTGTTGGAACAAGTCCAGAGGAGGCCACGAGGATGCTCAGGGACTGGAGCACCTCCTGTATGGAGCCAGGCTGAGAAAGTTGGGGCTGTTCAGCCTGGAGAAGCGAAGGCTGCGGGGAGACCTCAGAGCAGCTTCCAGTGTCTGAAGGGGGCCTACAGGGATGCTGGGGAGGGACTCTTCATTAGGGACTGGAATGATAGGACAAGGGGTGATGGGTTCAAACTGAAACAGGGGAAGTTTAGATTGGATCTAAGGAGGAAATTCTTTCCTGTGAGGGTGCTGAGGCACTGGAATGGGTGCCCAGGGAGGTTGTGAATGCTCCATCCCTGGCTGTGTTCAAGGCCAGGTTGGACGAAGCCTTGGGTGCCATGGTTTAGTGTGAGGTGTCCCTGCCCATGGCAGGGGCTTGGAACTGGATGATCTGAAGCTCCTTTCCAACCTGAACTATTCTATGGTTCTGTTCCACACTGCTGTGTGTCCTCACTGCCGAGTGTTGTTCTCTTCCAGCCTCCCGCACTGGCAGGACTGCCACGAGCTGTGGAGCAAGAAGCGGCGGCGGCAGCGGCAGAGCGGCATCGCGGTGGAGGAGCCGCCGCTCTCCAAAGTTTCTCGGAAAGAAACTACCTCTGTTCCAAGCACAGACCCTGTCAAAAACAACAGCAGTCCTGTGCCCCCCCAGCCCGCCCAGCTCAAAGCAGAGCCTGGTGCTGCAGATGCAGTAGGTCAGTGCCAAGCCTGGTCTGTTAAAGGTTCCTGATACCGTTACCTCCCTGCTCTCTCTGGCCTGGGGGTGTGGAGGTTTGTGTCTGGGTTGAAGCCAGGCTCATTCTTTCACCTCTGTCTCTACAGAAAGGAGAATTCCAGGTTTTCCCCATCCTGATTTCCTCAGGGATCTCTTGCTGATGAGCTGTGAATTTGTCCTAGGTTGGTTCTGAAACGTGCTTCCACAGAGATGAATGGAAGGACTTACTGAGTCACTGAAGTACCAGACCATAGGCTGGAAGGTGCAGCCGTGTACAGGGTGTGCAAATGAGCTGAACTCCATAAAGCTGAGGCATGGGATCTCTCAAGCTAGTGGCTGATGGGTGCAAGTGTACAGTATTACACTCTGCTTAGTGCAGGCAGGATCCCTTGGTCATAGAGGCTTGCAGGACCAGGTTTCTAAAAGCGTGACCAACCTTCCTGTTGAGTTGGAGGGGAGGTATCTTGATTCCTGGCAATGCAGAGCTATGCAAAGCTCCCCAGACCATGCTGATTGTTCTATAGAAGCCTTATAAAAACCCAGATACAGCTAAAGCTTTCTTTGTCTCAGATGTTGTGCTGACAAGTAATGGGGAAGACAGTTCTTGCTCCAGGGAATGCACAATCCATGTGTTCAATGAAACATGGCAGATGGACAAAAGGTGGTGGTTGGATTAAAAAGCAGCTGAGGAAAGTGAGTGTTGTGTTCTTAGTTGCCTACCAGCAAGAGGAGCTTCGTTTTAAGCTTCTAAACCCAAACCTTTGCAGCTTTCTGCCCTAAAAGCTTGCCTTACAAAGGCAGTGGCAGTGTGAAGGGGCAGCGTTGGCACTTGTCACTCGGGAGGCTCTGCTCCAGCATGGTGCAGAGGGAGGTGATGCCACTCGAGGGTTGTGTTTCAGACTAACCTGGATACTTGCAGGTCAGGACAGTCTCCTATGATCCCAGACCAGTTTTCAGCAAGGAATTGCCTTCTGCTTGACCTAATTTCTTTTGCTGTGTCAGGGGAACACACCCTTTCTCCATCCCAAAGAGCAGCTCGGCTTCATCCCGAGAAACTTGCTTCCCAGTGCATAGGGAGTGCTGTTCATCCATGGAATGCTGCAGGAGGGGCTGAGCTGCTCTCAGATGTGCTGCTCTGATTGCCACTGAGGTGGGCTGGGGTTTTCTGTGTTCATCACACGTCCTCAACCTGGCTGCTGTAACTGGTGCTGCCCTTGCTCACCAGTCTGCTCCCTGGGATGCTCAGGCAGGGAGGTCTGGCTCAGCTGAGCTCGGTTTATGCAGCAGCCACGTGTGCTGCTGGCTCTGAGAGGGCTGTGAGGAAGCTTCCCAGAGCACGCAGCTGAACCTCGGGTGAGTGCAGTGTGTGCACAGTGCCACGGGGTGCTGCTGCAGTGCTGTCAGAGCTGATGGCAGGATGGAGGGGGCAAGCTGAGCAAACCCATCCTGGAATCCTCCTCCCGGAGCCTCCCTGCTTTCCCCCCAGCACGGGGTCACAGAGGAGGAGGTGTGCAGTGTCAGGGGTACAGGCTGATGTGATGTAGCTCTGTGTAACCTCCCTGTGATGCTCCTTGTGTTTCCAGCAGGCCTTGGAGAGATCACCCAGCAGCTGAATCAGAGCGAACTGGCTGTTTTACTGAACTTGCTGCAGAGCCAGACTGACCTGAGCGTCCCACAGATGGCCCAGCTGTTGAACGTTCACTCAAACCCAGAGATGCAGCAGCAGCTGGAAGCTCTCAACCAGTCCATCAATGCTCTGACAGAAGCCACCACGCAGCAGCAGGAGTCTCAGGCAGCAGCAGCAGAGGAAGCCATAGAGGAGCCACCCGCAGAGGCGCAGCTACCGGAGGAGCAGGCGACTCCAGAAGCAGCCAGTGCTCAGGGAGACATGCAGAACGTGCTGGCTGTTCTGCTGAGTCAGCTGATGAAGAGCCAGGAGCCTGTTCTGACCCTGGAGGAGAGCAACGGGGAGAAGAGCAGTGAGCAACGGGGGCCGAGGAAAACCCCGACAGTGCAGCCGGAGGAGAGTACAGGTAAATAACGTGCCCGTTGCTCGTGCATCTGGGATGCCACACTCTTGTTTGAGCAGTTCAAGTGTTCCACGTGAGGGCCTCTAGTTCATCTGCAGCCAGGAGGAGCTGAGAGGTGGTGACAGAGGGAGCAGGGGCTGTGGGTGGGAAGAGGAGAGGTGCTGGGTGCCAGAATGGGGGCAACATTCCAAGACTGAGGCAGACACTGACCTACTCCCTGCAGTAAGTGCTCAGGAGGTTTTAACAACTGCAGCAAGCCAGAACATGGCAATACTGCCTTCTCTGCTTCACATCCCCAAAGCATATCAAATCCAGTAGTGCTCCATCAGTGGAAATGAAAGGTTTTGGGGTTTGCTCAGAAATGAAAGGGAAACTCAAGAGGTTCAGTTCTTCCTCCAGCACCCCTAAGAATCAGTTTACACATTCAGGTGGGTTTTTCACCCAGGACGTGGAATTCCTGCTGGTTTTCCCATCTTGCTGCTTATCCCAAGTCTTCTTTCACTGTTCCCTTCCTGCCCTCCTAAAAAAGAAAGAGAAGGAAATAAAGAGAAACGTGCAGAGATGCTTTTGAAGAGCACAAGAACTGAAGTAGTGGCGAGTGAGTGCTGGAAGGGAGGGGGACAGTGGCAGTTGGGTCCAACAGCGACTGGTGCATCCAGCTTGGAGCAGACTTGGCTTGAGTCCTGCCATCCAAAGCTGAGCTCCCCTGGTTCTTGTAGAGCAGGTAGGAGGCATGTTGACAAGAGCTGTTTGTATCAGTGACCGCTTGGATTTCCTTTCCGAAGGTGAGTGTAAATGTCTCCATGTCTCTTGTTTCTGTTGCTTTTTTGGCTTTATTAGCAACCTCCCGTGACGACCTCACCAAATTCTAGGAGCACCTCCTGGGTATGTCTCAGACTCTCCAAGGGAGCCTCTTTTGGCCAGATACACAACTCCTCTGCAATGTAGCTGAACGTGCTGTGTTCTCGTGCCTTCGACACACCCGCCCACCACGAGCCAGTTGTGACCGTGCTTGTCTTTCCTGGTTCTTTTCTCTTCCTGCCCTAGTCCTGGAAGATAACTAGGTTCTTGTAGAGCAGCTTCAATTCAATAACCTTGTGTTCTGTTTATAACGATTTTAAAGGAGATGCTGTCCCCCCAATCGGCTTGGCTTCCCAAATGACCTGAAGATTGTTTTCTGGATTACAATACAATCTAGTTTTAAAGCGGACTGATGGGTGGAGGGGTGGTCCTGGAAGACTACTGGTTTTCACAATAAAGTTTGACCTTTTTAATAACCAGTTTTGCACATGATTTGAGGATCTGATTCAAACAAAGGTGTTTGTGGCCTCTTGTGTCATCGCCAGTAAGACCTTGCATCATGGGGTAGCTGAGCCTGGTGGCTGGACGGGAGGTCGAGGCAGTTCAGTTGTGTTGCTCTGCAGGAGTCAGGATGGGTTGCTGGGAGCAGGTCGTGTCCCATGTTGTCCCCTTGCTGCTTGCACTTAGCAAGGGGAGAGCCAGAGCTTTGGTCTTACCCAGCACCTAACCAGGCTGCTTTGTTGTTCTGCTGCCTCAAAAGCAGTAACACAAAGCAGTGAGAACGTGGTGACAGGGTGTGAAGGGTGCTCTTGTTCTTGCTAGGAGAGAACAAGTCCTCTTGGAACAGAAATCTTGGTGGCTTCAGGTCTGGGTTGGGGATGGGGACAAAAGGGGTTTCTCAGGCTCCAGGGCAGTTTGTGTGTTGCACTCAAGGATTTGTGGGTTGAGATGGCTTTGGGCTCTGTGCTGGAAAATGACAAAACCCAGGAGAAGGGCTGCTGTGCTTTGGGGGCAAGTGGACACAAGAGGTTGTACCCACTCCTTCAGTGTGGCTTTGTGGCTTTCCTAAACCAGTCCCTCACTATGAAGGCACCAGTGAGCCTGGGACCGAAGCAGTAAGGCCACAGCATCCCCCTGCAGCGACCCCATGTGCTGTTGCACAGCTCCATCCATGCATTATCCTTTTGCTCCAAGAGCAGGAATCCCTTCCACGGGTGCCCATGGCTTAGAGGAGCTGTTGCCCACTGGATGCACAGAGGAAACTCATGGATGTTTTGTGTGCGTTGGTCTCCCCTCTGAATGCCAGCTCCTCCATCTCTCCCAGTGCATCCCAACTCCATTGACTGGTTTGGGGGGGGTGGGAGGGAGGGGGGGAAGAATGTTGGTAAATCTCTTGGTGATGTTGTAAGCCGGTGTTTAAAAGCAGTAACCCTTCCACAGCGTGTCCTCCTCGCGTTGTCCCACCAGAGAAGAGACCCCCCGAGCCCCCCGGACCGCCGCCACCGCCGCCTCTCTCCGAAGACGACCTCTCCAGTGCAGCCCAGGAGCTGAACCCGGCCGTGACCGCTGCTCTCCTGCAGCTCTTTTCCCACCAAGAGACGGAGTCGCTCGGCCCCACACCGCAGGAGCATCCCGCTTCCAGAGCCACCGACTACAGCAGATCCCGGCCCACCAGGACTTACAGCAGCGAGAGCTCCGAGGGTGGCTTTGGAACCGAGGAGCTGAATTCAAGCCAGACGCTCCTGGAACCTTCAGCCCAGGCTCTGGGGAAAAGCAGGACCTTCTTGGGCTCCGTGAGCCACCTCGGGGAGACGAGCAGCTACCAAGGCACTGGCTCTGTCCAGTTCCCAGGGGACCAGGACCTCCGCTTCGCCCGCGGCCCCGTCGCCGTGCACACGGTTGGCCAATCCTTCCCTAAATCCGAGGGGAGCAATAACACACTGGTCCATCCCGAGGCCAAAATCCACAACTACAGCGAGCTGGGGCCGGCTGCTTCCAGCGGAGCAGGAACAGGTCACAGTTGGGGTGCCCCAACCCAAGCCACCTCTTCCTATGGGAAGCCGTTCCGTGGGGCTGGCAGAGTGCCTCCGCGGGGAGGACGGGGCCGGGGGGTTCCCTATTGAGCTGCCCTCGTCCTCCCCTCCTTCACCTCCACCTTTTTAGCCCCATGACTTGAGTTTGTGGCCCAGAGCAAGGTCTCCTCTGCATTTCAGCTGCTGCAACGCTCCCCGTTGTTAGTCCTTGCTAGGCTGCCACCGGGCACCCCAGGACTCGCTGGAGGGTCCCCACTTTGGGTGCCTTTGTGCTTGCTTAGTGACAGACCTGAACCCCCAAAGCGGGGGTGAGCTTCCTGCCCTCCATGTTGGGGGGGGATCCATTGCAAATAAGAGGAATGAAACAAAACCCAAGCACAGGGAAATAGGAAATCACTCAATCTCTCACTAGTGCTTCCCTGGGGGGGGGCAGCGCAGGGTTCAGGTATAGGGCTATGGGGAGATGGGTTCCCAAAGTGAGGATTTTGGTTTTTCTTCCCAATTCCCTTTAAAAGAAGAAACCAATAAAAACAAAGGGGAATCTATTGGTGGGAATTGGGTATCCCAGCTCTGGAGAGCCGGGATGGGGCACTGGCTTGGCCTCAATTGATCCTATTGCTGTGAGCTCCAGGGTCCATCTCACTTGACTGTAGCCTTAATCAATGGGCTTTGGGGGTTTGTACCTTTCCTACTGCAACTTCCTAGTGGGAATTGTCTTGGGTTCTTTTGTTCCTTTTCCTTTATCCCAGAGCCGAAGCCAGCTCCTCGCTCCCCAATTCCTGTTTCTCATTTGAAACTTCCAAACCCCACATTGGAGCAGCAGCTCAGCCCTTGGAGGCTTTTCCAGGCATCCCTGCATCATTTCTAGAAGCATATATATATATATATATATATTTTTGTTGTGTTCAAGGAAGTCTCGACGATGGAATCCCTCCTCCTGCAGAGCCCTGCGCTGTTGTCCCTCTCAATGACACTTAAAAGAGATGAATAAAACCAAGGTACATACGGATGAGCTGCTTTTTTGTCCCTGATTAGGCCTTTCCTATGGAAAACCTCCTTGGAGAGCCAACGGGCATCCGAGGTGTGGAAACCTTGGGGGTGTTGGTGATGGGTCTTAGAGGGGGGTAAGACCTTGTTCTATGTGGGGTTTGAGTTCCTGTCTGTGTATGGAGGGGAAGGGCAGATGGAATGCACCTGGATGGGTGCTGTTTGACCTAGGGGGTAGCCTGCCCTGTGCAGGGGAGGAAGGAGGGAGAGGAAACAGCTCTGGTCCATGTGGTGCAGCTGCATGCACAGCAATGAGGAGCTCCATAGCATTGAGCCAGCCCTGAGGATGCAGGATTCCCAGCTCAATGAATTGGGTTTGGTTTCATTTGGGTTTCCTTTGAGTTCCAAAGTTCCCTCCAGAACAGAGGAGCTGGGATGGAGGCACTGAACCAAGCAGGGCTTTGGGTCCTCTCTGTTCCCTCTCCATGCGATGCCAGCTCCGGGATGCAGTGGAGCTTTTGTTGCTGTTATGGCTTTTCCCTTCCCAAACCCATCCTGTTTGGAAGGAGAAGTCGTGCTCCAAGCACTGCATCCTCTTGGGAAGCCGATGCCCATCGCTTGTCCTCCCCTATCAGCCTCTCAAGGAGCTCACGGACCTGTCTGTGCCCCCCACTTGTGGGGGCAGGTTAAGGGGGGGCTCTCTGGATGCCCTCAGGGGTAGAGGTGACCCCATAGACAAGCTCCTGCCCCCCGGCAAAGGATGGCCCCCCCCCCACCTCCTTCCCTTGCTCTGGGGCGGCATCGGAGCTGGAGGTGAGATTGGAGCCAAGCAGGGCCTCTCCCTCCATCTCCAATGGGTTAACTGGTCCCAGCAGGACTCTTTGAGTGGGGGGGGGCAGCTCTCTCCTGCTGCCTTTCCCCCTTTTAAAGGGTCTCTGTACAAAGCAGACAGAAGGATTGATGATGGGGGGGCATTAAAAGGCTCTAGAATGTGGGGCAGGACCCACACAAGCCCTGAGGTCCCCCTTGCCCTCCTCTCCCCCTCTGCACACACCAGGGTTCAAAGCCTCCCTGAGTCCCCCCTCTTGCCCAAAGGCGCCTTTGCTGGGTTTAACCTTTGTCTCTGTACAGATGATTTGTAATATATGGGCTTTTCTTGGGTTTTTTTTTTGGGTTGGTTTTTTTTTTTTCCTTTTCAGTTTCTAAGAATGGAAAAGTGGAGATTGGAAAATTAAAGATTTCCTCTCGCTGTATTTGCCTCCTGTCGCTGCGTCACCGCCTGCACCCATCACCCTCGGCCCTCCCTGCTGCTGGCGTTTGGTACCCAGGGGGTCTTGGGGCTGCTCTGGGTATGGTGGGAGCAGGAAGGAGGAGACCCGGAGCTGTGGGGTTGGGAAGGGAAGCAGTGAGGTTGGGGGTGCCTCCATGTGTGTGCATGGCTCCTGGTCCCTCCTTGGCCATGGGAGAGGAGCTGGGGAGAGGTTGTGCTGCAGCCCTGAGGTGGGAGGGAGCTGTGCCACAGACCATGTGTTACCCATCCCTCCCTCTATCTGTTCATCCTTCCATCCCTCTATCCATCTGTCTATCCCTCCATCCCTCCCTCTATCTGTTCATCCTTCCATCCCTCTATCCATCTGTCTATCCCTCTATCCATCCCTCCATCCATCCCTCTATCCGTCTATCCCTCCATCCATCCCTCTATCCGTTCATCCTTCCATCCCTCTAGCCATCCCTCCATCCATCCCTCTAGCCATCTCGTCTATCCCTCCATCCATCCCTCTATCCATCTCTCTATCCCTCTATCTCTTCCTTTATCCATCCTTCATTCATCCCCTCTATCCATCCATCTATTCCTCCATCCATTCCTTTATCCATCTATATGCCTCTATCCATTCCTCCATCCATCCCTCCCTCTAGCCGTTCATCCTTCCATCTATCTATCCATCTCTCCATCTGTTTGTCCCTCCATCCATCCCTCTATCCATCTGTCTATCCTTCCATCCATCCCTCTATCCATCCCTCCCTCTATCCCTCCCTTTATCCATCCCTTTATCCATCCTTCATTCATCCCCTCTATCCATCCATCTATTCCTCTATCCATTCCTTTATCCATCTATCTATGCCTCTATCCATCTCTCCATCCATCCCTCCCTCTATCTGTTCATCCTTCCATCCATCTATCCATCTATCTCTCCATCCATCCCTCTATCCATCTCTCTGTCTATCCCTCTATCTCTCCCTCCCTTCATCCATCCTTCATTCATCCCCTCTATCCATCCATCTATTCCTCTATCCATTCCTTTATCCATCTATCTATGCCTCTATCCATCTCTCCATCCATCCCTCCCTCTATCTCTCCATCCATCTATATATCCATCCCTCCATCTCTCCCTCAGTCTCTCTCCCCACTGTCTCCAGGAGCCTTTCCCCCAGCCCTGGAGCATGGGAAGGGGCAGGATCCAGGATTCCAGCAGACACAGAGGGGGCTGCTCCTGCTCCAGGGGCTCCCTTTGCTTCCAAGCATCAGCTCCTTCCCACTCCAAGGCTCGATCCGAGCCTCCCTTGCTCCCCGCAGTGCCCCTGCCCTGGTGCTGCTCCATGCCCCCCACCCGGCTCCCATTGCTCTACCTGCTCCTGCTTCAGCATCCCCTGTGCAGATGGCAGGGGGCGGCCGGAGCGAGCCCCTGATTTATGAGCAGGCAGCTGGGAGCCGGGAATCGGCCTCCAGGAGCCAGGAATCGGCCTCCAGGAGCCGGGAATCGGCCTCAAGGAGCTGGGAATCGACCTCCAGGAGCCGGGAATCAGCCTCCAGGAGCCGGGAATCGGCCTCAAGGAGCCTGGAATCGGCCTCCAGGAGCCAGGAATCGGCCTCCAGGAGCCGGGAATCGGCCTCCAGGAGCCGGGAATCGGCCTCCAGGAGCCGGGAATCGGCCTCAAGGAGCCTGGAATCGGCCTCCAGGAGCCGGGAATCGGCCTCCAGGAGCCGGGAATCGGCCTCCAGGAGCCTGGAATCGGCCTCCAGGAGCCGGGAATCGGCCTCCAGGAGCCGGGAATCGGCCTCAAGGAGCCGGGAATCGGCCTCAAGGAGCTGGGAATCGACCTCCAGGAGCCGGGAATCAGCCTCAAGGAGCCGGGAATCGGCCTCCAGGAGCCGGGAATCAGCCTCAAGGAGCCGGGAATCGGCCTCAAGGAGCCGGGAATCGACCTCCAGGAGCCGGGAATCGGCCTCAAGGAGCCGGGAATCAGCCTCAAGGAGCCTGGAATCGGCCTCCAGGAGCCGGGAATCGGCCTCCAGGAGCCGGGAATCGGCCTCCAGGAGCCGGGAATCAGCCTCCAGGAGCCAGGAATCGGCCTCCAGGAGCCGGGAATCGGCCTCCAGGAGCCGGGAATCGGCCTCCAGGAGCCGGGAATCGGCCTCAAGGAGCTGGGAATCGGCCTCAAGGAGCCGGGAATCGGCCTCCAGGAGCCGGGAATCAGCCTCAAGGAGCCGGGAATCGGCCTCCAGGAGCCGGGAATCGGCCTCCAGGAGCCGGGAATCGGCCTCCAGGAGCCGGGAATCTGCCTCCAGGAGCCGGGAATCGGCCTCAAGGAGCCGGGAATCGGCCTCCAGGAGCCGGGAATCTGCCTCCAGGAGCCGGGAATCGGCCTCAAGGAGCCGGGAATCGGCCTCCAGGAGCCAGGAATCGGCCTCCAGGAGCCAGGGATCGGCCTCAAGGAGCCGGGAATCGGCCTCCAGGAGCTGGGAATCGGCCTCCAGCCGCCTGCCCCCCCAGCGCATCCCGCTCAGCATCACCTCCTCCTCCATCCCTGCATCCCCGCATCCCGACCTTCCCACCGCAGGCGGACAAAGGCCATCAGCACGTGGATCCCGCGGCATTCCAGGGTGGCCGGCCCCATTCCCTTCATCCCATTCCTTTGGCATCGAGCCTCCCCGGCAGCAGCTGTGCTGCCAAATGGCCTTGGGCCGAGTCGGGGCTGTAAATCTCCAGCTGCTCCATCCCACCCTTCCCGGCTCCTCGCGGTGCCATTGGGATGCAGCACAAACCCCGCTCCCTGCCGCATCCCCACAGCCCTCGTGCAGGCGAGGGCTCTCCCGCTCATCCCAGTGCTGGGAATGGGGATGGTGGTGGGGGGGTCGGGCTCCATGCGGGAAGCAGCTCCCAGCGCATCCCAGCACATGCTCCATGCTCCTCCATGCGGGATGATGGAGAGGAAGACGAGGAGCGGGAGCCTTCCCACT